TATTCTATTCTATTCTATTCTATTCTATTCTATTCTATTCTATTCTACTCTACCTTATGATTCTTGATGAATGTATCTTTTCTTTTATGTACACTGAAAGCATTTGCACCAAGACAAATTCCTTGTGTGTCCAATCACACTTGGTCAATAAAGAATTCGATTCAATTTTATCTATTCTATCGTGAGAATCTAACACTCTACAGAAGGCTCTGATCCTGGGAAAAGAGAACGAAATAGGACCAGCAGAAAATGGGGTGAACACAGTGATGGGAGAATCCTTTGCAAAATCTGAGGGACCAGATAAACAGAGAAAATTATATGGTCACTAGGAATAAATAGCACCTTAATAGCCCATAATCACTTTTGTTACCTTCCATAAGCTTTGGAGATTCCTTCAGACACCCATCCATGGGGGAAATGTGGTTTCTTCTGCTTTATAGAATGGGGCTCGAACAACAGAACTAGGGTTTCATTGGCAGAATGAACCACCAGAAGCCAATAGTGGGTGATGGAGCCATCACCCAGAATTAGTTTGGCTTAATTCATACCTGTTAAGCATTAATTATAGGTTACACAAGCCATTAGCTTTCAATAGATACCAAACTGTGGGGTCCTTGGTGCAGAGGGTGGTTTTCTTGCAGATGTTTAATTATTGAGTGCCAGATGTTACTACTTAAGTGGGTAATGAAATGTCTGCAAGCAAACCACAAAGCACCAAGGACCTCACTGTTTATCCTGAGCTGCAAATATTCTCTTCCATGGATGTACCAAACAATAAGCTATGATTTACAACAAAGGTTGGAATGATCCAATCTTCTAGGCCAAATCCAAACAAACTATTTTATATTAGTATACTGGCCTAGTGTGGCCTCTATAGAAATTCAGCAATGTCAGGGGTCAATAGCTTGTGAGTGATAGGAAATAGAGCAAGGGTCTTCAAACTTGGCAAGTTTAAGACTTGTGGACTTCAACTCCCAGAATTCCTGAGCTAACATGACTGGAGGAGGAATTCTGGGTGTTGAAGTCCACAAGCCTTAAAACTGTCAAGTTTGAAGACCCCTGGAATAGACTAACATCAAGTCCACAATTCATATCTCCACTCTGGTATTGCAGGATCCCAGGCTAATCTTTTTCACAAGATTTGGGGGGAGCGGGGAGGAATGGAAAGAAAACAGGAGAAAACATAAGATTTATAAGCGATAAGAAACCTAGCTGATTTTCCATCTATTAGTTCCCATCAGAGGCAAACTACTCTGTAGGTAGTTGACTCTTCCTGCATCATGTCACTCAAAATATACACTGTGCCCAGGAGTATGGAACTTGTATTTCAGCAGCCTCTAGAACACTACAATTCCCAGCAGCCCCAGCCATGAGATGTAACACAGCAACCTTGGACTCCTTGCTCCCTCTTATGCAACTCTGTGGGCTAAGTAAAATTGTCCACTTGGTTTGAATTTGTCCAAATTCAAGTTACCCCAACAAGTTTCATAGCTGGAGTGTGTTTTGAGATTTGCTTCTTACTCTGATCTCCCAGGCAGCCAAAATTTAGGAAGAGTCTGGTGCATCTTTGAAAACTAACCCATTGAAGGCATAGATTTTTATGAGCTGCATCTGCATTTGATGCCTTGCTTCACAGAATTAGTAGTGTCAAAAGATCCCAGTAGACCTTTCTTCATATTTGAACAGGAAGCAAATTCCGAATTACTGCACGCAAACAAATATAAACCCAGAAATTTGTTCAGAAGACTGAAATGACAGAATCAGGCAAGGACAGTCTCACTTTATTCATGCAAGTTTTATTTCGGGCTTCAAAACAAAGGATGGGCTCAATCAAATCTGACAGCTTTAATTTTCAGATCACCAGCAATAGAGAAGTATTCCGCTGTATCCATTTCCAGTCTATTTGGGAACAGGAGTTCTTCCCCCTTCTGCATTTTCACAAGGATTTGTTGGGCATCATAGCAGACAAAGAGCTGGAAGAGATGAAAAAGAAAGTCTCTTGAGATATAGTTTATTGTATTGTTCACAAGTTCATAAGAAAGAGTGCGCCCATTTGGTGTCATTTTTGAGGCACTAGGCTAGAAATCGGGAGACTGCGAGTTCTAGCGTCATCTTGGGCACAAAGCCAGCTGGGTGACTTTGGGCCGGTCTCCCTCTCTCAAGCCCTGAGAAACAGGCAAGAGCAAACCCTCTTCCAAACACTTGCCAAGGAAACTGCCAGGACTTTTCCCAGGTAGTCAACCAGGAGTCAAAAACTGACTTGAAGATACACATAAAGATTGTGCACGCGCACAGAAAAATAAATAAAAGATTGGAGCTTTAAAACCAAAACATTTGTCATGCCCCTGTTGGAGTCTGACTGAGAGGGAGAGGAGGAACAGCTGACAGGGAGTGAAGTGTGACTCAGGAGGTTGTGGAGGAAACTGGGGAAGAGCACAGGCCGGCTAAGCAGTCAGAGGAAGACCCAGGCCCATTCCCTCTTCATCCTAGGGTAGGCAGGGAGGAGCAGATAAGGGAGAAACATGAATGGTGTGGTCTATGGGGGAGGAAGGGGCCCTGATCCTCTTCATGGGCTGTAGCTGTGAGGACTGTTTAAAAGGACAAACTGCACATGGCCCAGTGCTGGAAGTAAAGCGTGAAATCATTCTAGTATGTCAATTCTTATCTGAGTTGTGGTGTGTGTGTATTTTGATATCTGTGGACGTCTTCAAGCCCTTATCCTGCCTTGTCTCATTAATTGCTTCAGTGTGGCTTGTGTTGTTTTTTCCTTTTATAATTTATATGTATTTTGAGTTTGAACGGCATTTCTTCCTTTTTGCAACTGTTTGTGAGGAAGTTTTTCTTCAATAATTGGAGCTTTGAAGCCAAGTTGAAGGAATTAAAGGGACTTCACCTGTTTTTGTGACTGTTGCTTTTGTATCCCACTCTGGGTCATCACATTTCATTAGCTCCCTTGAATGTTCATCAGCTGGGGTATAAATCAGTGATGGGATTCAAAAAATTTTTACTACCTGTTCTGTGGGCATGGCTTGATGGGCGTGACAAGGGGAAGGATACTGCAAAATCCTCATTCCCTCCCCAGCCCACAAACTTGCTTTCCAGCTCCATTCTCCTGTGCAGGGCAACCAAAGAAGACCCAGCTGATCAGCTGGAACTCAATGGGAGGCAGAGAATAGATGGGGGCGGGGCCAGTCAGAGGTGGGATTTGCCTGTTCTCTGGACGACTCAAAATTTCTGCTACCAGTTCTCCAGAACTAGCCAGAACCTGCTGAATACCACTTCTGGTACAAATCAAGTAAGCCAGGGGTCTTCAAACGTAACAGCTTCATGACTTATGGACTTCAACTCCCAGAATTCCTCCTTCTGTCATGTTAGCTCAGGAATTCTGGGAGTTGAAGTCCAGAAGTCTTAAACTTGCCAAGTTTACAAGATGTAAGCAAATACAGCAAACCTTGGTTAAAAGCTACCATTTCCAAGAAAGCAAATGTCCAACTTTAGACAACACCAAGACAATTGCATATTAGCTTGCCAGGTCCTGTAAATTCAGAAAGGCATTCTTGTAATGGTAAACTACCAGTGCAATGGGTTTTATTTTAAAAAAAACTTATTTAATCCACAAAACATGAATTGGTTTTCAAGCAGCAGTCATTCCCTCCAATACAGCCACTCCCAATCTTGTCCAGAGATGTCAACCTTTCTGTTTATTCTTGATAAGCTACTTTGCTTTTATTGCAATTAGTTGTAGAGTTCAGTTTTCCTCAGCCTGATGCCCCTTCCAGGTCTGATAGCCATGCTGACGTTTGGTATCTGGAAGATACCAAGTAGAGGGGGAGACCAACAGTTTTTCTTACCTTGAATTCTTCCCCCTGTTGGAAAGGGAATGCTGACTGCCTTATCTCCATCCCCCATTCTCCACACGTTTTGGAATTGCAAATAATGGTCTTAACATCCCCCTGACTGTCAAAGCGAGGGTTGAAGTGAAGGGCCAGTTCAGATTCATTTTGGCCCAGGTTGATGGCAAAACTGGAAAGAACAAGTTTTGATCGTTAGTAGATAGTCCAAGAAATCTATTGCCACATTCAGATCTCTACATCCATGGTACATGTGCAAAATATAAAAAAGAAACCATAAAGAGGAGATGTCCAGAGCAGTCCTACTTACAAAGGCTACTCTGGACTTTCATCTTTATTTCCCAAGACCACAGGAAAGGATTAATCCCCTTTCTCTTCCGGACTAGAAAATACAATCTGGCTGCATTAGAATAGCTACCCAATAATTAGAGTAATTTGGTATCTGATCCAGAAATAACCAATTTATGAATACATGCTGGACCCTTGAGTCATTCACAGGTTAGATCTGATGTGCCAAAACTTGTTCACATTCTCATTCTATGTGACAGGCAAGTTTTAACTCCCTTCCTTCCCTGGATCTAGTATTTTTCCAATATCAGCAAGAGATATGCTGACTTTAGCTCCTAGAATTCCACAGCCGGCAGACACGGAGCTGAAGTCCACACATCTTAAAGTTGGCAACTTTGAAAAACACTGCCCTGGTACTCCATGTGCACATGCAAAAAAAAAAACCTGAATTGCAGAACTATTCCAAACTCAAGCTTTTTTCAAGTCAAAGACCGGTATGCTTCATTTTCTATGTGTTTTAAATGGCGTTTGAAGGATTTTATATTATTTGGCCTTCATTAAGGGGGTATCTTTATATTACCATGCAAAGACAATTCATTGTTAGATTAAAAAAAAACCAAGGTTCTCCAAAAAATTACAACAAATGATCATGTAAAGGATATGTACAGGTCCAACCATCTACTGAACAAAAATGGATTCAGTGTCCCTGTCAGAATGAATTCACCCCAATATCCATCCAACCCAATATTCTTTGTAATGTAATTCTATTATTGACAAACCTTTTGGCATCTATGTCTACCTTGGCTTTCACTTTGATGCAAGTGCCAGACCTGATTTTCACGTGAGCAACCAGTTTCTAAAAAAAGAAGAGCATGGGGTGAGAATTGCCAAACTTCTAGCCCAAAACAGAAAAGAACATTAATCAATAATGTAATTATCTCATGACTGATAAAAATTGAAAGCACAGGGGGGAAAAAGTCAGGAAAGAAAATTTCCTCTGAAGAGCTTAGTCTTTCTTTTCTTTACATAAAACTTCTAAAGCAACATATAGGATTTCTCGAGTGGCAAATGTACTACCATAAGTACTGTTCCAGTTCATTTTTTTAGAACTGTTCTTTTATCAAAAAAAAAAAAAAAAAAGCACTTGTTCCTCCTTTGTGCTGATATGTGCTTCCCTTGTTATTTTTATAGATTAAAATACACATGTTATTTAAAAAAATATACACGTTTCAAATTCTGGAAGTGTTTCCCCAGAAACCCAAGATTGTTTTTCCACCCATTTCAGAGTTTCCACAAATTTTCCATCTCTACTATAGACCGTAGCTGAATTCTCACATCACACTGTGATTTCAACATGGTTTCATGAATAAACCACAATCGACTGGATTTGTACATCCTGCTGACCTGTTTTTGTTAGCTTTCCCCGGCAGAACAGAGAGGAGACATGATGACTAGACAGCTAATTCTACTTTGTTGTAAAGCTATATTAACAAGTCTGAAAATAGGATTTTTTTCCCCTCTCCTTTGCAGCCTGAGAAATTAAGGAGGGCCGCCACCCCCCTCCGCCTCTTTCTCTATCCATTACGGACCTACAGGATATGCCTGCTCTTATCTCACCATTCCCTAGGCATGTCTTCATTCTGCATTTCAAGGTCTTTCTCACATTCCATTACATTTTGTATTTTGAAACCTAAAAATGTTTGGGTTGCACATGCAAAGCCAAAGCTAAGCAAACCCGGTTAAACTTTAGCATAATGCGTGAAGCTTTTTTTGTTTAGGCTAAGTTCCCAAAAACTTAATTGCTTATGAATAAAATTATCCTAGCTAGGTAGAAAACAACTAGTGTACATGAAGTGTACATATTTCCATAAACATTTTATGTAAGGAAAAGAAGAAAAAGGAGCTTGCAATTCAATGAGACTGCAGCTGTGTTGAAACCCAGGAGATCAAGTAATTGGAGTAATTTCAGATAACTTAGCTTAGAAAGTACAAAGCATTTATGCAAAGGTATGTACTACAGTTTGTTCACACTGCAGAGAAAGACAATATTTTCTCACAGTGAGAAGCCAAGTTTTGCTAAGGAGAGATCCAAAGCAGTGGAAAATGTCTCTTTGTTCATTACTATTACACACATAAGGATACTATTCAGTTCACAACACTCTAAAAATGGTTTGGATCAAAATGTGGAAAAGCAACCCAACAGGCTGGGTTAATTACCCTCAGTTTTTCATACACTATAGCTGTGTTTCTCAGTCATGGTTAGTTTAAGATGTGTGAACTTCAATTCCCAGAATTCTGAGAGTCAAAGTCCACCCATTTTAAACTTGCCCAAACTGAGAAACGCTTCATTATAGACTCTCCCACTAGGGCTGTGGAAGACTAAGGAAGCTATACCTTAGCATACCTTTCTCCAACTTGGGAAAGGCAAAGTTTTTCCCCACCCAAAAGTGTTTCCAGCTTTTATTTTGTCACTTACAAGATAATAGGTTTAAGTATAAACATAGTTATGAATACATGAAATGGATACATATAATAAAAAGAAACAATAGGACAGGGATGGTAGGCACGTTGGTGCGCTTATGCACGCCCCCTACAGACCTCTTAGGAAAGGAGTGAGGTCAATAGTAGACAGTCTAAGGTTAAAGTTTTTGGGGTTTGGGGAAGAAACCACAGAGTCAGGTAGAGTATTCCAGACATTGACCACTCTGTTGCTGAAGTCGTATTTCCTGCAATCAAGTTTGGTGCAGTTAACTTTGAGTTTGTATCTATTGTGTGCTCTTGTATTGTTATGGTTGAAGCTGAAGTATTCATTGACAGGTAGGACATTGCAATGTATGATTTGCATAAATCATGCATAAATTTTTGCATAAAGTCTTAGTATTAATAATAATAATAATAATAATTAGTACTGCATCCAGTTTTGGTCACATTACCAAAAACTTGAGACTTTGGGAAAAGTGCAAAGAAGAGCCACTAAGATGATTAAGGGCCTGGTAACTAAAAATATGAAGAATGATTGCAGGGGGCTAGTCTAGAGAAAAGACAGACTAGGGGTGACATGATAGCAGTCTTCCAGTATTTGAGCAGCTGCCACAAAGAGGGGGTCAACTAATTTTCCAAAGCACCAGGAGGCCAGACAAGAAACAATGGATGGAAACTAATCAAGGAGAAAAGCAACCTAGAACTAAAGAGTAACCTCCCAATAGTGAGAACAATTAACCAGTGGAACAGCTTTGCCTTCAAAAGTTGTGGGGGCTCCTTCATTGGAGGTTTTTAAGAAGGGACCTATCTGAAATTATGTAGGGTCTCCTGTTTGAGCAGGGGGTTGGTCTAGAAGACCTCCAAGGTCCCTTCCAGCTCTGTTCTGATTGAAATCTGACCAAGATTGGACCAATTCCTTTAATGTCCTCTTTAGTGTATTTTAAGCTCCAGTATAACTTTTGCACTTCTGACAAAACGCTACACTTGTTTTACACCAAACTTCTGAACCAATTTTTCCCCCCCAACTTCACAAACTCGAAGACTCCATATCCCATGCTGCCTAGGAGATGCTAGGAGTTGGGAGTCCACCCGTTTTCAAGTTGCCGAGCCTCAAGAAAAAGCACGTCCTAAACAGCACAGTCATATTACACTCATCTCTTCCCTTCCCGGCTGCGCAACATCAGCACTTCTGTATTCGGGGCGAGAAATGCAGCCTTTTCTACTCACCGCTTCCATCGTTTTTCGATTTCTCGGAGAAGTCGCAGCAGCGCCAACCTGTGAAACAAATCCCTGAATTTGTCCCGGGCTCTTTCCCCGCAATCTTGAAATAGCTTTTCAGCTGCAGGTGCTTTTTTACTACCAGCCAATCACAGGAGCGAAACGCTGAGCACCAATTAAGGAGGTGGAGATGGGAGTGATCCAGGTGGGGATGATGAGCGTTCAATCAACGGAGCCGTGAGAGGGCGGGTGCATTGCGCGTGTGTTAAATAGACATTTAAAAAAATAGAAATAATAATAAAAAAATGTTTGCAATTTCCACGGTCTATTCGCGGCTTGGACAGAAATATACCTTTTTGAAGAAATGCAGAGAAAAGTCCTTTTAGACTACAACTCCCAGAATTCCTCTGGAATGTTTTTTTTTTTAAAAATGATGGGGGGCATAAAAAAAGGAGGGCCGTGTGACTACAGTTCCCAGCAGCCTTTAGGAGCGTGATTAATCCATGGTCTTCGCCATGCTACGATTATGATTTGTGGACAATGAGTGGCCTGTTCCGGATTGGCTGCGTTGGGGGCGAGACTAGACTTGCAATCCTAGGGGCGCAAGGAGAACCTCTTGAGGGGAGGGGGTGCGGGTTTTGTTTTGTTTTTTGCAAGTTTTACGCAGATCTCAGGTGGAAATGTTAATTATTCCTGTTAAATGAAAGCATTGCAAACTGCAGCCAGAATTGCAAGCATAGGTATTGCAGGAGAGTATGATAGCCAAAAATATTGACAGCTCAGCTTCAACTAAATGTTTAGCGGATAAGAAAAAAAAGGCAAAAAGGAAAGCGGCCAATGTTTCTTTAAAATTTTTTTTTTCTGCTTTGTAAATTCTCAAAATGTTAGTGCCGTCCTTAAGATTTCTCACAAGGCAAGTAACACAGCTTTAAATCCAGATTTCCAGATTTAAACTATAAATAACCCATTGGTATTTATCTGCTGAATCACTGAGACAGACTTAGAGTAAATGGGATTTTAATTACATGGGCATGAACAATTTTGGAAGTGATTCCCAACAGATTCCTTTTTGCTCAGGCGGTATAAAAACGTAAGCATATTGCTGGCTATAGAGAGAAAGAGATGCTAGTCTATACGCATCCTTGTTTATTTGAAGCATTGCTGCACCCTTCATTTCTCTAAATTCCAGCTGTTCCTTCTTTTCAGCAATCCCAAGGTGGAGAATGGCCTCTTCCTTGAATAAACCTGGTTTGCAGGAATTAAGATAATCTGAAATCACCCTACATGGCAAAATCCCTCACTTTGGGAAAACATGAGAGAAGCTAGGGAAGAGAAAAGGGACAGCAATTACCAAAAGCAAAAGTTCTATGGATTTGGAGGGGAGAAGAAAAGATCTAATGGCTTAGCACCCAGTTGAAGTCACCTGGCTAAAACACATAGCTACCTTCTGCAAACAAACAAAAAATGTCACTGGAGAGATGGGAGTTTGTTTTTATATTTGAGGTTTTACTTCTCTAAGCCACCCAGTCACCATGAATTAGGCAAAGCGCAGTCAGCAACAATAGGAGCTGTGATAGCAACAGCACAGTTGCAGAACATGGATAAAGCAAAAACATTGTAGGCCACTGAATTTCCTATTGTACAAAAGTATGAAGAGCTAATCTAAAGCATAGTGCTCGCTCGGATAAGTTAGTGAGGAACAGTAGGCTTAGAGGTATATATAATTAAACTTAATAATTTGACAGAAAATCCAACTTTAATATATCAAACAGCTCATAAATCAAATAGATCCGGGCATATAAATGATGATGTTCTGTGCTAAATACTCTCTCACTAAATATTTCTAATTCTCCTTTCCCTCGTGGCAATTCACACAGTGTCCAGGACACAGAACTTCTTGTCACTTCTTTTCCTTCCAAGCTAATATTATATAACTCTTTCTTCTGGTCCTTAAGGTGCTTCTGGGTTGAAAGGATTTGGGGGTTGTTGTTGTTGTTGCTCCTTTCATGTCCCTGTCAAGGAGCTGGAGCAAATGACAAGGGCTCACCCTGCCCACACAGCAGCACTCGGGTCTCAAACGTAGGCTTGCCAACTTCCAACCCAGCATCCTAACCGCATGAGCCACTGCATTCCTTTCTGATGATGAATGACTACAATAAAGTTATTTGAATATAACTGTAACTCAATCAAAATTATTTATTTGAAACTCTACTTATGCAAATGATTCATCTTCCTTCACTCCTTATAAACATACTCAAGTGGACAATTATTGTGAAGTAAAAATGCATGAGTGGTAGCTTATATTTACAATTTAGAATCTCGGACTCTACCAAATTAATTCAGTGCTTTGGGTTTATTTTTCTGGTATAATCATATGTATTTTTTCTGTTTAATTCTTTATTTTATAGCATACCTTGCCAAAATTTAGTCCTTTCTCTTGAACAAAAAAGGACCCTTAATTCTCACCTTTTAGATTTTTTATTTTTTTTTATTTTTAAAAAAGAAAAAAAAGCCCCCACAAAAGTATGACATTCAAGTGGGCTACTGAATGTATCTGTCACAGTCTTTGTTTCTGGGAATTAACAGAAATCATTTATTATTCATTTTAACCACGCACCAGAAATGAGACTAAAAACCAGGCCGAAAGTGACAAACAGTCCATAGGGGACTTCACCAAAAATCAAAGTATGAGCAGCCCTGAATGGAGTAAAGGAAGTTTTCAGGGAAGGATCCTGGGCACCTGGATACAGAAAATCAACGGATAGTTTTGACCGGGCTCTTGAAATTGCTGGCGGCCTGAAGCTGCAGCTGATAAGCCATAGGATGGATCTTGAATCCATAAAGTCTGAAAGAAATAAAAGAGTTAAAGCGGGATGGGAAGGAAGATGTAAAAGTCTTGCCCAAATAACCAACCTATATTTTCAGTTAAAGTGTACAAAGACTTTGTCAGATTTCGGTATGACTACTTGGTTCAGATAAGGAATCTTAGATATTTTTTTTTAAACTTTGAAATTTGATAGAAGTGGAAATCGGCCCAATGCTATACTTACAGGTCTCAGCAAAGTAACTTTGGCTTAAGTTTACTTAACTTCCTAAGGATACGAAAAGCACAGTAAAATCAGGGTTTCCACAGTGTGGTTTAGAAGAAAATAATTTCTCTGGATAAAGTCTTATTACACTTCTCAAAAGGTAACACTCTCAGATATAGTGGTTTTCAGGAAAAATATATATACACTTTAAAATCTTGCCCCATAATGATAAGTTTCTCTACTGAGATTCTTCTCTTTTTCTGGCAGCATAGTGTATCAAACTGGATTTGGAGTAGGAAGAGAATTGTTATTATGTTATCATACCTCATTTATTCAGAGAATCAGTTGTTTATAAGCAGTTAAAATTTGATCTAACAAAAGCATACTCTTCTGTATGTTGCAGAATGTATTTCCATTATTTTTTACAGAAGAATTATTTAAATAGTCGTAAGAACTACCAGTATCTGCCTTTGTTTTATATAGAGCAATAGCACTTAGACATATATACCGCTTCACAGTGCTTTACAGCCCTCTCTAAGTGGTTTACAGAGTCAGCACATTGTCCTCAACAATTTTGGGTCCTCATTTTACCAACTTTGGAAGGATGAAAAGCTGAATCAACTTCGAGCCTGGTGAGATTTGAACTGCCAAATTGCAGGCAGCCAGCAGTTAGCAGAAATAGTCTGTAGTACTGCACTCTAACCAGTGTCTAACCACCATGGCTCATATACCGCTTCTTTCCATTTCCTTCCTCTCTTTTAACTCTGATCACATTGTCAACTGCTTCTGATTCTCTTACACTCAGTGTCTGTCTATTCTCTTAGCTTCTGGCCTGCCTGCCTGCCTTCTTTATAGGGAATTGTCCTATTAACCCTTTATTTCCATTCCACTGTTTCATCACATTTAACAATGATTTGAACTGCACCTCTTCTTGAGCACAATATTGGGAAGCAGCACAGCCAGCCCTTATAGAGAGCCTAACAGTATTGCTTAACATTGCTATATTTCAACATTCACTGAGTCTCTGAAAACAACCATAACAATAACATCCCAGGCTCTGGCTAGTATTGAAATTTATGACCTGTGAGATCAGTTGCAAATAAACACTGACAACACAAAAACCAGGACTGTTTTCAAGTCTTCTTTTTCGCAGCACAGAGATGTCCGCTTTTGTCTGAGAAGTCTCTAGTGCAACTCTATCCTTAATAATAATGAAATGATCCTTCATTCATTTAGGGAACAACTACATCCTTTCTTTCTCTTTTTGAGTGACAGCAATAATATTAGAGATGACCAAACTTTTATTCAGTATATTCTGTTATACATTTGATGGCGCCTTACCTGGGCACAAACTGATTGGCTGGTCGCTTCGGCCGATATTCAGGATGCACCATGAATAACATGTGAGGAAAACCAGTTCCAAAATAGGCACCATCTGTGTGATGATGGCGGGAAGATTTGGGAGTATAGACATCCATACATTTGGGGCAGTACAGTTTGACCATAGCTTCCCCTGGGATATCGGATAAACCTAGCAGTGAAGACAAAGCACAGTAAGATAGAATTCAGAAATTAAATTAGTTTAAAGAAGTTACTTGATATGACTTCTGGAACAGACTTACCGACCTGACTTTCATCCACAGTCCCAGATCTACAGTTTGCAGGTTTCCAAAGTGGACGATTCAAGAATTTAGTTCTAAAAGAGCCTGAACTGAACGCATCCTATGATTGAATCTGCCCACTATATCACCCTGATTCTGTAGCCCAGGTTTTTTTTTCTTCATCTCCTCCTATAAAATAGACCCCTTACATTAGCTCTGAATCATTTCTTCCATAATGTAACATACTCACCAATGGGCAGCATAGGCTGATTCTCACAGTAGACTCGAGGGCAGTATCCAAAGTCTCCCTGCTGGTATTTCTCAAGCTAGAAATAGGAGAAAAAAATATATATAGAAAACACAATCTTCCCATAAATTGGAAAGGAACTGATCTGCTGGCTCAGGGCAGAGAAATCTGTAAGGAAAATCTTTAAGGAAACTTGCACTTACCAATTAACTCAATTGTCTAGATCAGGGATCCCCAACCCCCAGAAGTGGCGGGTGTATGTGCAAAGCTCCATTAATGCGAACAGCGGGTGTGGCTGCCAGTTGCTTGTGCAAACGGAGATGCATAAATACGCACACTCACCCACTGCTCATGCAGATCCCCTCCCCTTCCCCCCCCCAAAAAGCCAGAAAGGCTGGGGACCACTGATCTAGATGAATCTGCAGTATCTGTTCAAATTATACTCCCTTTTAGGTTTTATAATCTCTGATTGGGAACCTCTGTCCAGGAACATAAAAAAAAA